CCAGTTGCAGGCGGTACCCCAGAAGTGTGTTTTAAGCCGATTTTTCTCTGGAAAAGCTGGGAAAACGCCTCTTGAGCGGACACTAACAGGCAGGTCCGGCGAGGGCAGGCAGACAGATGCGGGCACACCTCGCTGCAGCCAGCATGCCTGCGCATGCCTGTGCCCAGCTCGCAGCCCCGCCAACGTCCCGCTGGAGCAAAGCTGTTCAACGCGGGTGCTCTTTCGGCAGCGGACATGACGGCATCACAGTAGCATCACCATATGCTCAGCCCAGGCCCTGGTTTTCGGAGAGCCGGTGGCACCTGTATCATTTTGCTGTCATTTGTCACCTCCCGCGGGATGGTGTCCAACACTTTTATTCTCCAGGACTCTCCGCTCTGCCACCCTGAGCACGATGCTCCGACCCAGGGGCCGCTGACCTGCCACCGTCCCCATCCCCACGTGGCCACCAGAGATGTGACTCCTGCAGTGCCAGTGCAAACCCTGCCCTGGAAACCCGAATCCCGGGGCCACCGCAAATTCAGCGTTGCTTTTTGAAGGGTTTTCCTGCCACAGGTTCAGTCTCCCTGAAAACCTGCTGGCATCAAACTCCCTCGCTCCAGCCCCTGCGGTGAACGGGGACCCAGGAAAAATCCTTTCGGGGGGCTGATGGCAACAGGGTGAACAGGAGGGCTTGCAGCTACTGGTCACCCAGAGCAGCCGCCAGTGCTAATTCAGTTAATAATTAATGCAGCTCATCTCCCTCAAACAAACCAGGGGTTTTATATGTATCACCAAGCACAGAAGACTTTTACAAACCCACCCTGGGAGGATAAATGGGACAAATAATCCTATTTGAGCATCTCTGCATGGTCTATGGCCTGAGGTTGCAGAGGCTTCCTGAAACGCAGCTCCTCGGCGTAGGAGATGAGAGACAAAGGCTCCGAACAAGGGGCTCATGTGATCGCTCAGCCGGTGAGCACCGAGCGGCGCGGAGGGAGGAAGCACAGGCTGTGACAGCAGCACGGCTCCTGCCGGCGCGGCGAGCCCCCCGCCCACCCCGGCAGGCGCTTCGGCCACCGGTCACGGGGTTAAAATGCATGTTGTAAATTAAAACGCACGTCGTAAATTCTCCTGTTGCCTTCAGACATCACAGGGAGCCCTGCAAGAGTTGGTGTTGGGGGGGAAGATGCTACGGGCATCTCTGCTGCCTGGCAGCCCCTGCCTCGCAGCCATGGGCTTCGTGATGCCCACCTCAACTTGGGTGCCCTAATACCAACTTGGGCTGGAGCAAAGCCGCTGCCTTGATGTTTTACCTCGCTCCGAGGGCAGGCTCCCTGCTTTCCAACTCAGAAAATTTGCCTGGAGAGCCCCACGGAGCCCACCCCGAACCCCAACACAACAGGCTGTC